AATCAAAATTGACCATCATCAAATGTGTATGGCACACAGCCCCAAAAAACATTCGCGTTTGTCGAATCCCACACTGTGTTTGTCGCCACTACGACGCTATGACCTTTGTTCGTCCTGTTTTTACGTTCGATTTCACGCATAACGCGGGATCTCGCAGGGAACGTAAAATGTTCAATTTTCATACTCATGAAACGCTCAAGATAACAATAATCAATGTATCTGAAAATTCGACATATATTTTGTGTACTAGTACCTAATAATTAATAAACTCGTCATAGAATGTCACTGAATGAAAGCGTTTGGGCCGTGTTTTACGCATTATTTTCTCTGGTGCTTATATCGCTTCAAAAGCAGTTTAACGTGCTCACACTTTTTTTTTATATTACGCCGCTGCAAGTTACACCGGCGTAAAGGTGCACAAACACAGATGTGAACACACTATATAGTTGATATCATTATAAGTACAGATTTATCTTATTTTATTATCTTTTCATTCTGAACACTTTGCATGAAATAAATGGTCAATGTCTATATTTTAATGAAAATGTATGTTTCTCTACGTTAGGGAAGAATAAACGTTGTACAGGACTGGACCGCAACAAAAAGGTGTTTAACTCTACGTAATCCCGCAAAAATAAGATTCACGGTTCAATACGATGCTGAAAATGAAAACTTTCAGTCTTGCAAAATGCTAAAAAATAAACGGAACCCACATATACATCTCTTATATGCAAGGCCACCCTCTTTCCCTGGACTTTGCACTGCGCAATGTGAAGGACGTGTTATAATAAGTATTTCCGTTGGTGGCGCGCTAGTGAATCTCAGGCGCTCTTTTAGTCTATGCTTTGTGAAAAGATGACTGTCAGAGACGCCGGGTACGTTTTGTGACGAGACGGGGCGTGACGTGACGTAACGAAGCGTAATATGACGTAGCGTCACATACATATTACATACACACGTTTAAACCTGCTATCGTATGACATATGTCAAGAACGTATTTCCCGCTGTTATCAATAAGGATAATAATGACACTTAGGGGTGGTTTGGGTAGCACCAGAGCCCGGGGGTCACTCTATATGCTGTTACTACCCCATGTGCGTTCCAAATTTAGCGGGAAAGCGGGGTGTTTTTCACCTTCTAAAGCGGGCCCGCGCGGGAAGCAAATAGGCCCCCTTTAAAATGCTAATGTCTGCAATAGGCCCCCAGAAATAAACTCACAGGGTTGCTGCGCCCGCTGTAGGCCCCCTCTTGCAACAATCACTCCCATACACCACCCATAGCCCCGAATTAGCGGACCCATCGCCCCGACCAGGCCGCAAACGTCCGCCTGACCTTTCCCACCGGGACATTCCCGCCACTTACAACACAAGCATACGGAGGTTTATTGTACTAGAAGTAACGAAACGATACGGAATAAAACACATAATAAAAATTAAACTGTATTCAGTGAAAATGGGTTTTATATGCACAATATTTACAAAATTTTGCTGAAACTAATATTTAAGCAATAAACCACCGCCGGAGACGAAACTTTACCAGTATTTTTATTAATTTATTTGTAATAAGGAGCTGCAATCAAATTATTGGAAAAAGCACATAATTAAAATTTTTAGAAAATTTTTTCACTTAAAGTAAATACAGAAAATAAATCTAATCTACATAATCTCTTCTATAATTCATAACATCAATAAGAAATCTGTTCACAAATCTATCAATATATTTACCTTTCAGTCGTTTATTTAACACCCTAAAACATTTGCCGAAAACAACGGTATTTTAATTAGTAAATGGTTCGTTTCGCTAATTACAGATAATCGGAAATCTGCATCACGCGGCGAGACAAGGGTCTTATAGGTACAATAATCGCAACGATCGGACGAAACTTGAGCGGTATTTTTACCTTTCAATCGTGTATAAAACAATTATCTATAATTAACAAAACGAACCATTCACTCATTAAAATCCCGCTATTTTCGGCAAATGTTTCATCTAGTTATATACACTACTGAAAGGTAAATATACTGGTCAAGTTTCGTCCGACAGTTGTGATTATTGTACTTGTCAGACCCATGTTTCGCTGATTACAGATTTTCGATTATCTGCAATTAGCGAAACGAGCCATATGCGTATTAAATATTATTATTTTCGGCAAATATTTTGTAAATATTGTGGGTATAAAACCCATTTTCACTGATTACAGTTTAATTTTCATTATGTGTGTTATCCCGTTTCATTTCGTTTCGTCGATTACAATAAACCGCAAATAGAAAGTCATCCCGAGTCATCCACACTTCCGAAACTTCTTTCGCGCCTCTGCCTCATTCGCATTCAGCTCCTGCTTTTTCTGCCCTGTATTCATGCCAAAGTCACTCGGAGCTGAACATAAAATTGCGTAATGATATCTGATGGAATAAGAATCCTGTAAAAGTTGTGTGCATTGTGTATTAAACTATCAAATAAATGATCATATTCACTATCATGTCAATAGTTCTGATCTTATTCATCAAACAACGAATGACACCAACAGGAGTAAGTTGCATACACAGTAACTCGTTTGAAATTATCACACTCTACTTGAGTGCAAAAAAACGGCAATAGGAGGTAGGCTGTTCTCAATATATGTCTGAAATAGGGGGTGTTTTTTCTTCAATATGTCTGCTTTATTGGGTACTAAATTTACATTGCGTCCGCAATAGGGGGTATGGTTTGTCATTGTGCTGCCAGCCCTAGGGGCCTATTATTTTTTAGCAAGAACGCACATGGTGTAAGGTTTTAATATTGAGTGACCCCCCCCCCCCGCGCATAGTACTGTATGGTGACATCATGCCAAGATCCCATTCAAGTCTCATCTCATAGATAGCGAGACTGATGATACGACCTTCTGACATGACATAGACGGTTTGTTATAAAACAATAAAACATGTATTACCACATTCATAGTGAAAAAATGTAATACATCGAAAATCCGTCATATCGTGAGTAGCTATTTTGATCCACCTGGACAGTGGACATCCTAGTATCCAAGTTACCTCGGGCATGCGCATAAGCATTTTTCTGAGTTGTAACGCTTATGCGAGAGTGAGGCTGAAACGGGATCTTGGTATCATGTCACCGTAGTTGCAAACCCCAAGTAATGTACCTCTGGTAGTACTTAGTAGTATTTGAAGTATATTTGTAGATAGTTCTGCAACATACACTGTGACGACATACATGTTTATACTGTATTCGAGACACCGTAACAGTGCTGCACTAGGGAGAGTTATGTCTCTGCACTAGGGAGAGATGATGTCTCTGGCACAGCCTATCCAGGGTACATACACTAATGGCAAGGTCGGTGACAATTTTAAATGTAGGTCGTTTACGTTTAAACAGTAAAAATGATTTATTTTATTTAATAATTTATCGTTTATCATGATAATTTACTTGAATTTATAACACGCACAATGTTGTAAATATGTTCTTTCTAAACTGACTGGGTCTTTGTCGATTGCCAGATATATGGTTTGGAGCAAATTTAGGACCGTCTCACGCTGGTAACTCAAATATGCTGCATCCAATCGCGTGCCAACAAATTATTATTTACTAGTATATTTTAATATTTATAACTATAAATTTGTGATCAATAGCTATTTACCACCTAAATATTATATTGTACTATAAATAAATTAATTATTGTTGTGTAAATAATAGTTAGAGATCCAACAATATTTTTCTTTAGTAGCCATGGTATTACAGGAAGGCTTTGTACATTATTCCGTCCGTACACATTTGAACTTGACATCGTTCTACTTGGATAGCCGGTACCACAATGAATCGTAAAATAATCGGCTCTGCTTATAGGCAACAGTGACTCAACTATTCCACAAAATACGTTGGAGTCAAAAATAGTTTAAGATACCGACTAATTGCAAGATTGGTTACTAATTGGCAAAATTTTATCTCACAACCATTTACACTGGCCAATTTAACTTAATAAAGCCAGACAACAGGGTGGTAAGCAGGGACGGATGCAGGATGTTCAGTTAGAGGAGAGCACCTTTACAATGACGTCAGTGCAGCATTGCATTCTGGGATGAGTAACAAAACGTTCAGAGGAGGGCCCTAGTCATGTGTAGGGGACTGAATCTGTGGCTGGTCTCTACTCATATTTTGACAAAAGGATTATCAAATATTATCCTAAAATGATTTCAATATACGGATGGCAGGGGCCTATAGGTAGCTTTCAACAGCCTGAAGTACCTGCCAAATTTAAAATTTGCCGAATTTTGTGCGAACATAGAATAACGGGTGGACATAAACTCAAAAATCTGAAAATGAACAAGCGTGAATTTTTGTACTAACAGTGAAAACTCAGACAACTAATAATAATAATAAATAATTTATTAGTAAGAACTGAGACGTTTCCAAGCTTTAATTAAGTCATTTTCATGTTATTGGAAGGAAGGAGTCACCGGCGGTAATCAGTGCAAGTCGCGCCCAGGTCAAACCTCATACTTGTGATTTCCATTTGAAGAGCGCATTGGATTGTGGGAAAACCAATGTTTATCAACACAAATGCGGCACATGCGCAGCGCGACGACTACCGCGCTTTAACACATTTATATAATATTCAAATATTTATTAATAAGTGACTCCATATTGTACGCCCATTATACGCGCACGACTGCACACTTATTCAAAATGAATAGCTTGCTGATTGGACGATGTTTAACTAATTCATTAATATGATTTAGAACTCGCGATGATGTCACTATATCCTTTCTGGATTCTACCGGTCATTTTTATTTATAGAAATATATAATTTATAAAACGTTTTAACATCCCCAGCTTTATGCCTTTCATTGTATGCAACCGACACTGATTGTATTTTATTATTTTTCAGATTATAAATTATAAACGGGCTTATTAAAGAACTTTAAATCATAACCCAGAAGCCAGCAAGTAACACTCGTTTATATTTTGCCTTGAACGAGGATGGTATTGGGTTAATTGAAGCAATAATGTCAAAAATTGTGAAGACATTGTTGTTTGGACCGAGGAAATTCAAGCGAATCCATCAAATAGAGTACGACCTACGCCCTGGTGATATTGTGGAGCTAAAGCAAAAGAAACGCGTTTGTAAGTACAGGGTGTGTGTACTGCACATCGGCGGTAATTACGTCATTAACTTCCACAAAGGAAAGTGTTTCAAAGCCGGCATTAGGAGGTCTGCCCTCGGTAGAAAGGTGCGAATTCTGAATCACATACTGGATGACAAGTACGGGAAAGAACCGTTACCATGTGAACAGGCCATCGCCAGGGCACTTAAGTTTGCAGACAAGGAAGACCAGGAGTACTCTAATTATTTTTTAAATAGCGAACATTTCGTAATCTGGTGTCGCTATGGCAACTCCATTCGACTTCTGTCTCCGTCAGAAGGCAGGCCGCTGCCCATAGTAACATGCACACCGTTTAACACCCCCGATCTGTGTCGTAACCACCCAAGAGACCCGCGTAAGGCACCATTAGCCATGTTAGAAGCTTACATTTCGGAGGAGGATGATAGCGATGAGGAAGATGATAATGGTGGTGATGATGGTGATGATGATGACGAAGACGTCATGAAAAACCATTGTAAATCCATTGTCCAACCGCAACGGACTGAAAGACCAGTGTCAATCCTGTTAAAACGTGAGTGCCATAGCTTTAGATAACTCTAAATGTTCACGTTCGAATCTATTTTGCATATCAGAAAGTTATATATTACATGTAGTCTCAACAAAACTACCAATTATAAAAGCCCGCCTCGCGTGTTTTCTGTCCCCTCTATACATGACACTGCTTTACATCTTCAATGTCGACAATTGACATTTTAGATAAAATTGTCAAAAAGTGATTACCGTATACCCGAAATCTTTCTAAAATTCTGAAAAATGTTTTTTTTTTATTAAAGTGAAAGAAGACCCCCCAAATGAATTTAGTTATGACCCGGAAGCAATGTTACCAAGAGTGACCCCGGAAGAAGAAAAAATGTCAGGAGGTAAGTTGCCATTAAAGCCAAATCACTGGGACGATGTTATTGTGTATATTTTTACTTTTAACGTCAAATTACACTACACTACACTACACTACACTACACTACACTACACTACACTACACTACACTTCACTACACTACACTACACTACACTACACTACACTACACTACACTGCACTACACTGCACTACACTGCACTGCACTGCACTACGCTACACTGCACTACACTACACTACACTACACTATGCTAAACTACACTACGCTACGCTACACTACACTACGCTACAATACACTACTCTACACTACGCTACAGTACACTACACTACGCTACAATACATTACACTACGCTACAGTACACTACACTACACTACATTACACAACACTACAATACACTACACTACACCACGCCACACTACACTACACCACACTACACTGCACTGCACTACAATGTTTTACCCATCAATAAATAATAAACACGTTTTGTTCCAGGATTGGAAGAAATTACGAGAGGCATAGAAGAATTACAGGTGAGTCTTGTAAATGAATTATTCGTCATTAATGACGCTTGTATTTGACGATTTCGTGTAATTTAAATGCCCTAACAATGTTGTGATTGTCGCATCAAAACTGGAAAGTCGAGCCAAGCATTTAATACCACTTTGCGGAAAAGGCAACGTTTAAGTTATAGTGTGAAACGCAAATACACACAATAAAAAAATAGCTTCTTTCACCTTGGCATGTGTTCGTATTGTTGTTGAAACTTCCACTTCAATCATGTCACACGTACACTTTTTAAAAGCTTGTTTCTGTGTCTTGGTAACTTATAAATCATCGTTTTCCCCAGGTATCGTTTACCAAGCTAAACGTGTACTTCAAAGATTACGAAGCTTTGCTGAGCATGACGGCTGAGATGGACGGCGACGCCATAAAGAGAACGGCCAGTGTTAGCAGCCGCGGTGAAGACAATAATAACATTGCAAGTCGACCATCATTTCCTGACGATGGCAAAGGCGTAGGTGAGGCGAAGGCGAAGTGTGTTTCAGACCATTTATGACGTGGAGGCAACACTACTGACTCTACTGGCTGTATTATTATGTTACGCAAATATTTATATTTTTTCCACAAATATGAATCTTTTTTTCTGAGCATTTGCGCTTTATCTCCATTCATTTACAAGTATTGTTTTTAGGAATACCGAAAAATATTTATATACAATAAGCGTATGTGAAAAAATGCGTGGAATCATCCTGTGGATAAATGGCTATTTGAGTGGATCTGATTTCCAAGGGGCCAACCATTATTTCTACATAGGGTTTATATGCTACTATATAGGATCGGAGAAGAAGAAAAAGCACCCTGCAAAGAACAAGCTGTTCACCCCGATGGAAATAATGGCCAGTTCCTAACCATTTCAATTTCTCTGTTCAGAGACTGAGAGTCGACCCCGTTCTTCAACCGTTGCCGTGGCGACACCCAGTACTTACGTACATGTCAGGAAGTGGATTCACGACCAACGAGAAATCTTATCTCAACTACCGATGTACACCCATAACCCAAAAGAATATCTTAGAAGCCTTAACAAGGTAATACATGGTTAAAGCGTGAGGGCCGTCGCCTGCGCACGCGCGGGAATTGAGTCCCAAACGACGATAACAACACACGCTAAAAACGCAAAAGCTCATGGGTAGACGCTTGTTTGTAAACAATGACATGCTATGGCAATCTGACGCATGTGCAGGTGACGACTCCCCCGCTTTAACACAACTTTTTATCAAGAAAGCCGTTCAAATCCTCGATATTGTTTTAATCTGTATTTGTCTGTCAGTAGTACGTTTTTTGAGAGATTTACTATATTTTAAATTGCGAAAGAACTTAAACAAACCACAGTTGTCATTTGAACACTTTTTATACTCATCTACGCCATTTGACGACCAGAGAACGCGACTTCCATGTAAAATATGTTTTGATTGAGTGTTTTTTGTGTTGTGTTGTTTGTAACTTCTTGTAATTTACCACGCCATACCGATCGATGCATCTAAGCACAAAAACAAAAACAAAATGCCAATCTGATACGGGAGTTCCACCATAGAACTTAGGCTTGACCATAAACCATATCGCAATTCAGAAATATAGTGCATTGTGGTTATATCAGGTTGCACGTGCCCACGCGCTTTGTGATTGGCGGAGTTGTGTTCGATCATGGTTCGATTTGATCAAAACTATCTCAGAATTTATTATGATTAGGAATTGAGATATGATCTATGGGAAATACACCAGTGAGTTTCAATCCACCGTAATTTTGTATGGTTTTACATTTTTTATAAATGTTGTATATTTCAAATGACGGTTGAAAACAACTTGACCAATCACAAAGTAATTGATTGAAAGAAACCCATAGAGACTCAATTTTATTGGGGGCTTACTCTTTAGACTTCACGGAGGTTTACCAGGGTGAATGTTTTACAAATATTTCATATTTATTTTATTTATTATTTCACTATAAGATCTAATAATAATAACTCGTATTCTTTTCGCAGGTCATAACGAATTCACAAAGCCTGGGACAAATTTCGGAAAAACCACCTCGTCGTAGGTCACAGCGGGTGTCTGAACCCTGTAGGTGGACAAGGCCTGATACGAATCTAGATGATGCTGATATTGAACCAAGCTGTCCATATATCCATGCATGGCACAGCAACCCAGCCGTGTTCGAATCAAACACTCGCGACTTTAAACCTCGCCCGGCTTCATTGACAACTGAGCAAACTGGTTCTGACGTCAGCCTAGTTAGTGGTAAATCTGCCCCACTGTTTCGTGATATCGTAGGTAACCGTCTGTCAGTCGCAACGACGGATTCGATGCTAAGTGACAGCGATCTCGTTCTCACATACGATTTGGAGTATGACGACCACGAAATAGATCACATGTAGCTGAAGACAGCGACGCAAAGGCGATCACTATTTTCACCGTCAGTATTTTAGGATAATAATTTGTTTGTTTTTTCCTTATTACTGGCATCCGTATATATACAACGCGGTTTTTACCCACTAACATCAGTCTTTATTTTAATTGATCGGTCGTATGTAATATTTGTATAATAAACACATCGCTTGACACGGACAAAATACCCTGAACGAGGTTACAACCTTTGACTCGTGACCCGACCGCTTTTCTTGGCAATCAGACGAACAGTTAAAACACTGTGATCGTCAAAAAATACATTTGAAACAATCAAATTTGAATTGTTTTTCAAAGACCTATCGACGATTTTAGCTCTAGTAGAAAGATGGTTCTATTAGTGAGCCACAAATTACGACCATATGTCATTATTTGACTTTGGGAGCTAGAATAGTTTTACCGCAGTTCAGTGGGTTTTAGTTGAATATCGTTGTTATCTCGAGCAATGCTATATTCAACGCCAGGGATGTGTTAATGTGTTGGTCACTGACAACTATCAAAACTAGGACACAGTACTCTACTCCTTTGTTCATCTATATCACATGAAGCACATGGATCACGTGCGTCCGTTAAAGCAAAGACCCTTGACACAGAAAAATTAAATTCTATGTATACTGGTGTACATGATCAGTTAATGAAAAATGTTCACAGTTGTCACTCACCACACTGTTACCAGGATGACAAGACCCGCTTCGCTCACCTATAAATTCTCTTTTATTCACATAGAACGCGTATAAATACATCTCAAACTAAAAATTGGACAACGCATTATACTTACACACGATCCAGTGACCAGAATGCTTTTTAATATTTCTTGAGATCTTTAAACTTTCAGTCGTGTTCAATATAAACGGATTCTTTGAATGTCATAGTTTAACTTTTGTATAATTTTGTTTACAAAAAAAAGACACACAAAAAAGATGGAAACAAACAGCTAAGAGAATAATATGTGCATATGTACAAATTATAGAAAAAACATGTACACGTGTACATGGGTCAAATTATATACCTATTTTTTGCGACTGAGGTTTCAACGTCACATGTAAACAATAAACCAAGTTCGAAATAAAACTGTTTGGTTAATGTGCAAGGTGATATAGAACTGAAACGAATTTGTTTTTCCAAAAGGAGCTATTAGACGTTTTGGGTTAGTTGCACGATGTACATAGTTTGGTGTTGATTTTATCTGCAAGACAAAGAGAACTTGGGACGGCTGGTGTTTCCATCGTTTGACGTCTGGTCAGCATGATATATAGTTTTTTCATATATGTTTTAAATACCAGTTTATAACAACAACTTTGCACATGTTGTTTGTGGCATATTTTGCTTTGTTGGATACGGTGCGCATTATTTTTCTTGAACCAGATTGAAGGTTTTCTAAACGGAGGCTGGGGGTCTTTCAACGTATACATTTATCCACAACTTTTTGTTTACATTTCGTTTTTCCATAATAATAGTATATGTATTTTAATACCACGTTTAACAAAATCTCACTGATTTATAAATATAAGTAGTCAATAGTATTTGACTCATCTACCCACTCCATTTAATGTTGCTCTTATCTGTTTCAAGGGAAATTTTGCTCATCATCATGATTTATTTGCTCACCAAATTATACTCGCCATTTACCTACCTTTTTGTTGTAAGAGACAATTATTGTATCTATAAAAGTTAATAAAATATTGTCACGCAGCCAAGATCATCAAACCGCGAGATTCAGAATTTGTATTCAGAATGCTTCATTCCAGCTCCATTCTAATAAATGTTAGTTTTATTTCTAATAATGTACATTGTACATGTATTGTTATTTACCGCCATACTCCCTATATGATGACGAATCTAACACTGAGGTATACTATACTATACTATACTGGGCAAAAATCTTGTCACCTGCGCAGTACTCATTTTTTTAAATAATATTTTTTGTTTGTTTACTTAGTCACGTGACTACCATTGAATTAGATCAAAAATGACCCAGAATTTCAGGAAGTGTGAAACAAGAGCTTTAATAAAATATATAGTTTATTATAGTTCAGGATAATTCTTATATGAAAATATCAAGCCTAATTATAACATCCCTGTTAAGTCTACTACATCCTTAAAGCGGAGGGACATCACCTGCGTATGCACGGGAATTGAGTCCTAAGCGACGAAAACAACGCACGCGCTTGTTTGTAAACAATGACACGCTATAGCCGTCTGCCGTATGCGCAGGTGACGACACCCCCGCTTTAACCAAACCAAACGTGACAATGTATCAAACCAAATACGACCCGATTTCAAACCAGTTTGAACCAGTCCCTCTATCATATAGATTGTTCAACCACGGCATAAATGTAAAAAAAGGATGAACAACGGCTTTTCAACCCCTGATCTAATGACCTTAGCCGACATTTTTTTCTTACACTCTTTGTTCAACGTGAACTATGGAGGTAGAAAAGAGAGCTCATTGGTTCAACAGAGACAGTTCGAATCAATGTGAAGCTATTTATAAGATTTCCATGATTGGCTACCCAACCTTAACACATGCAAAATCAGACCAATCAGAGAACAGCTTGGTTGCTGACAGTTTTTTTGACGTATAAAACTATGCCTTGTATATGTTTCCACTCAATAGGAGAATTAATAAAAGGAAAAAAAGCAAAAATAGTCGCTGAAACGAGGCGAAATGTTTATTTTTCTTGAGGCTTTTTTTTTTACCGATCAGATGGTTTTGCAAACTGTTACCAAGCCTGACAAACGGTTGGGTCACAGTGAGACTGTAGTTTGGTAAGTTTGAAGGTTACGACATGACACAGTAGACTGAGAAATGATGTCGAAAAATAAATATGAAAACAGTGGTGAAGATTTAAAGCCTACAATTCACTGAAAATAAAGAGAAAGGGGCAAAACACATTTATACCGAATTATTTGGGATTTAATTTAAAATTTTCAAAAGCGTCAAATATATACTAATGCGTCATATTTTACCATAAATATCAGATATTGTTCAACCTGCCACCTATGAGAACTAGTGAAAATGACGTCATTTATACTTCATTTGGCGCACCTAACAATGACCTGGCCTACTTTGCATATGACAGCTGGGTGTGTAGAGAGAATACATTAGGCCAAAAAAATTGTTTTGTTGCCCTCACCGACCGAAAAATATGAAATATCGGGTCGCGGTTTGTTTTTTTTGTTTTTGTTTTTTTAATAGGCCCACATATCAAATATTATTAAACTCACCATTTTGAGCAGTAAAAAAGTGTTTCCTCTAAAAATCAACGATCCCGGACCGTTGTTTGATCCCCAGGATCCTGGGGGATAAGTGGCGACTTTGAACCTCGGGTTGATCTGTATTTAAATACAAAAGACTGAAAGAAACACTTCGATTTTTTTTCTAGCATGCGTTAGATTGATTCTCATATACCTCTGCTGTTTACGAAACCCTTAGTTTAAAAAAAATCCGACCGACCGACCCATTTTTTCCATTTTCCGACTTGAGGGCAACATAAGTTTTTTGGGGGGCTATACGGACCAGAATACTGACGAACAAACCATGTGACAGGAAGGAGACCAGCAAACTATCGGTGTTAATGCACCGTTACAAACACCATACATGTATACGTAAACACAGGTAAACACATGATACAGGGCAGGTTGGTTTAGTTCAGCCAGCTATATTCGCTATATGCTTCTAGAATCAACATCCTATGTTGAACTTTGCCCTTTGAACACTAAAACGTGCACTGGACCCCAGACAGCCAATTAGTTGTGCGAGACTGGACGTGAAAGTAAAGTGTCACATTCGTCGCGACGCATAGTGGGTGTCATGCGACGTAGATACGTGTAATGTAATGCATGTAATATGCACTTTTGAACAAAATGTTTGCACCGAGAAAATATTGGATAAAATAACAAACGCATTCATTAAACTGTATTAAAATTGTGAATGTAATGATACAACCATATATGTGTGGAACTGTATTCAACTGGATGTTTATTCACTTTATAAAGTGTGCCATCTATCGACGAGAAACTTCCGTGGCGGACATTAACGTAGCGTATTCTCGTTGCCACTAGAGGGCGTAACCTTTAAACTAAAGGAACTGCAACTGGTGTGTTTTCTCCAATTAGTTTGAATTTATTAAAGAACACTCCACAGAAGGGAAACTGGTTATATACACTCACTAATAAAAGTCTCAACAATAAACAAATTACAAAAAAATAAAATTATAAAATACAGAATTCAAGATATAATAATGTAATAAGCAATTAGTAATTATAAATATGATTTCTCAAAGTACGCTATATGCTTTGAAATAAAAACGATCGGCATATTTAGCTCCCATTTGGTATCAAAGCGGGAAGGTCGTCACCTTCGCATGCGTCAGATGGCCATAGCGTGTTATTGTTTACAATCAACCGTCTACCCATGAGTCTTTGCGTTTTAGCGTGTGTAGCTACCGTCGCTTGGGACTCAATTCCCGCGCGTGCGCAGCTGACCCTCATATTAGTTGTTGTTCCGACCCAAAAAAGTGTAGGTCTTGTTTATTTGTGAATACCCTGAACGCCATAGTTTCTTTTGCTAAATAAAGCAAACAAAACGACTTGTTTTTAGTCAGTGCGCACGTCAGCTAAAATGAGCCGCACTTCATTTTGTTTCTCTGATTTCAAAGTAAGTCTCTTACAGTGCGGTGACCAAGGCTGGTATCCCTGTCGTTTTCACGCGGGGCTTGACGATCTAAGTATACGTTATTGCACAGTCCCGCTATCATAGAGGGGTAGAGAGACTGTGGTTATTGCCATGTGAAGTGGCCAATGGACTTTCCAGAATGTGGCCGTATGCCGTAACCTGGTTATGAAATGGTATTTATATTCATAAAAACAATTTGATTGACAGAAATTCGAGACAACCGTGTCAGGCACCCGTTAAATAAATCGTGGTCACATGACGGTTATTTTAGTATGTCGAGTATAAACATGTATATACAGTAAACGCCATCACGGTCACGACATTGTACTATGATAATAAAGACGAAAGGTTTGATGACTGACGACGTTAGCGGCGTTGTTCAAAATGGCCGACGACGAAGAAGAAGTTTGGGATAGCTGGGAAGATGCTGTTGATAGCGGAGTAAGTTTTATAAATGCTTTGACGCATTTTTTTGTCAAAATTAACGTGAAATGGCATTTTATAGCGATTGATCTTTGTGTTGATCATCGTGTGAACCGTTTGCTCACAACGACCAGATTAAGATCAAACGTCACTACTTACGCGCGTCTATTATTATTTTTTTCATGTTATGGAATTTGATTGTTTCTACTGTAGATCGCATAAAGTTGCCTTATATTTCAGAAATGTTTTGTTTTTTAGCGTCTCGGTGTCAACTATATATTCATAGTCGGCATGCAGCAACAATGGGTGAATTTATCTATTTATTCAGGTTTTGTGACGTGCAAGGTCAATGTCACCATGTCCTACAAACCCCAAATCTGTAATTTCGAGATGATAATTTCAGAGCAGTCGCTTTGAATATGAATGAACTGATACTACTGCTTTGACTGGAATATATCATGGGATGTAAGAGAATAATATATTAATAATTATCTATTTTCCTGAAAAAACGTAACCAC